TCGCTCGTCACGAATTAATTTTGAGCGCGCAACGGTAACAATTACATAGTGGGAGATCAGCGACACAGCCGACGACACAGCTTGAATTATTCAAAGTACAGTGGCAAATCCCTCACGTTGCGTTGAACGAAGTTAATAAACTATTCATGCTGTGCGCTTTAAAGAGCGGATGATATCTGAGTATGAGTTTCCATTCGTGGGATTTGTATGAATATCGCCTATTGTCGAATATAACGAAGCATTCCTGTACGCCTCAGCTGGAAAAACCATGATACGGTATCTTTGGTCTACAGACTGATAAAAAAAATATCATGACAGCACGTAACATTTACTTCGACACCTAAATTAATCAATGTAAAACTTTTTCTAAACTGAATTTTATTCATACGATGATCTGAATCTAGACTTTGACAAACGCAAAGCCGCTATTTTGTATGATATGTATTTACGTTTTCATACATCTTACTATCAAATCCCTTGTGAAAGAAATGAACCATCATTCTAATTAAACTTCTTTTTTTGAAAGGTTTTACTCTAGTAACCATCAACTGCACGCAACAAACCGAGTCAAGAGTGGCACCGGTGCATGAATTTGAATTCAAAAAGAATCTAATTCAACCATAAATAGAACCGCTTATTGTCTTATTATACATGACCGTGTGATCGAACATAGCCCAATGTCAAATGTACGCAAGATTACGTAAATTATCATCACCAAAAAATACCTTCCCCTTCTTTTTAATATATGAGATAAAATCTAAGATCCTTTGTGGCCAAGCACAGTCTCAAAAAGTCGTTCCACTTGACTATACCAACGTTTGTGGATGTGCAAGGATTTATCGTTGAAAAGAAATTTGTCGAAGGAAGTGGTGGTGTTGAGAAAAGGAGCTATTCTCTCTCATTACATTTTTACATGTTTTTTTCTTTCTCATTATTTTTTTGCATTATATTTTTACATGTCCCGTGCCATGGAACTTCTTGACAAAGTCAGAAAAGTATTGCGCTTTCTGGCTGAGTACTTATCACCATGGATTGCAATGGGAAGACGGGATGATCCCGTACAGAATGATAAAACGCCTGATTACAATGGCTGCAATTGATGCGGAAAAGAATGACGATAATAAGGTTCTTGTATACGTTAAAGTATGTGAAAAACGCGAATAGCTGGCTGGTATATTCGATAGCGACGACTTGACAATTGAGACTCTGGATGTTGATTACGGAGATATAGATTCTTTACGTAATCTAGATGTTATTAATTCTATACGATGTGGAAAACAGAAGAAGAATTGTGAGTTACAGAATGTATTTAAAATATATTAGGTGTTGGAATTAATTCGTAGCGTTTTTAATGAAAGAATGTTATTTATTTCACATGAGCATTAAAAAATACATTAATGAAAGTACTTCCCATCACTTGTAAAACGCTATGAATTAATTCCAACACCTAATATAACTAGTGGTCATAACGCTAGAAAAAAATATATCAAGTTTGAAAAATAAAATATGAGATTTCTTTTAATGCATTTTAATTTCTTTCCCCTCTCCCTATAATTAAGAATCTATCAATAATGATAGTTGTTAGTATGTATATAGTTTAATAAGTGTTCAATAGTTACTCAATAACAGTTTTAATAATGATTCGATAATTAGGAACGCTTGACTATTTGTATTACTAAATATATTATCAGTTACTAAATTAAAATTATTGCTGGTTATATCATAAAAAAATCGTAAAAAACAAATATTTACTTAATAAAATCGTGTGTGAAAGAAGAAAAGAAAAGAGAACACAACGGGAGAAAGAGAGAGTGTAAATAAGTATAGGACTGTAACGTGTGGGAGAGAGAAAACTGTATCCTATTTATTATACAATGAATAAGAGATAGAGGACATAGGCTAAAGAGAGAACGTAATTAGAGAGAGAGAGAGAGAGAGAAGAAAAATCCTTCCCTCTATCATGGACCTCGATGACGCGCTCCCCAATGTCTGTGAGGCACTTCCCCCTCTCTGACTCACGCACGCACGCACGCACGCACGCACGCACGCACGCACGCACGCACGCACGCACGCACGCACGCACGCACGCACGCACGCACGCACGCACGCACGCACGCACGCACGCACGCACGCACGCACGCACGCACGCACGCACGCACGCACGCACGCACGCACGCACGCACGCGAAGACGATAAAATTGATCTCTGAGCAAAGTGATTCCAAATCATTCTCTTGTTTTTGTAATAATGATCGAGAAGATACTCAATCGATCCTTTTGCATTATATCTGAGTTTTACGGTTACTAACACGTTCTAGAACAATCTAGAATCACTTGAGTATATAAGATAAAGAATAACTGAGAGTTGTGTATTCTGTACAGGATGATTCGGATGGGCAGTAGAGATTTCGTTACAAAGAAGTCTCTGCGTTCAATAAAATTGTGCTGTAAAATAAATTTCCATCTGTTTGTGCAAGTCAATAAAGTTTATTGTCGTAAGTATAAAAGAGTCACATGAGTAATTTGATCGCTTGGCGCCCCGCTCCACTTTCCGATACGCTACATTTTTTTTCAGAATCATCATCATACTCGATATCTTTCAAAAAAACATTTTATACAATGTAATAGCATCTTGTACTACAAAATTCTCCATTACTTTTTAACTAAAAATTAATAAATTAATGAAATTATTATGTTGTTTGTATTTTGAGTAATTCTCATTAATAAAATTCATATATTTATTACTTCTTTTCTCACATTAATATATTATTATAGAGAATAAATAAAAAATATATAATTACTCTCTTACAAAGTTTAAATCTTTTTTTTTCACCTCTTAAATAGTGACACGTACTATTCCGATTTTTCTTCAATAATCTAAATAGAATAATCTAAAATTACTTACAAATCTTATAGGTTGCGTAGAATCGATTATAGCATAGATAGGTTTTTCTGCGCATGTCGGGCGAGATTCACCGCAGTCTTGAGTGCAGCGAAAAGATGTCCGGGCGTTCTTCGAAACTCATTCTGAACAATGCTAAATCAACGTCTGGACAAAACGCCCGGTAAAACCGAACGCTTCTGGATAAAAAGTTGTCGTCCGGATGTTCATTCGGAAAGCACGCCTGTAAAACGACTCGCGAAGCGAGTAAACACAGCTCCTTCAACTTTTCGACACAGTCAATGTACTCGTACGGAGAGACGCCCATTCATGTCAAAAGATTAAAATTTTCTTCGGATAAATTAGAAAATTTGCGTTGCAATATTCGTAGTTTATCTCTTTACTGAGAAAGGATTCTAATTTGTCCAAACTTGAGGCGAGAAATCTATATGAATTTATAAACCGTAATTTTATATGCAATTCTTTTAAGCTAGTTTTTGATACTATCAACGTATTTGGTGAATGAGATGTATTTTTCTTTTATTATTGGTAATAATTCAACATGACTTTCATAGACAGTAGTAAAATCTTTGATGATGAAATGGGCATCTCGTAATCAGATAAATTGTGAAACACTACGGGCATGCAACGCGAATTCTTATAATTTAGATTGCAGTTTGACTGCGTAGGGCTTCTGTATCGCCCGGTTAAATGACAATGATCGCGTACTCGCGTATCGTCTAGCGCGAATGATTTCTCGCACACGTGTTACAGTGTGTTGTTGAATTTTTCCCATTCATCTCGCATAAAATCTGCCATGGGTACATTAGTCGAAATTGTGGACTGCATGCTGTGCGCTAGATTTTTCAATTCTTCCGCGATGCAGTTTTTATCGCGGTAAAAACGATACATGGATAATATATCATCATAGGAACAATGCACATAATATCCGATGTATAATTCGGGGTCGAGGTTTCTCAATGTGCATTTCCTTGAGTCGGACAGCAGACCATGCGAACATGCATTGTTCGCAGTTTGCACGTTAATTGCATATCCGCTCTTTTTAGCATAATTTCTCGCGAGAGTTTGATATGACATTCCGCACGCAGAGGATAATGCTTGTTCGCGTTCACTGTTAAATTCAATATATGCGACAATGTCCATCTATAGCGTTCCTGAAATTCTTCCAGCGATGTTAGGGTAGACTCAACGATGCGTGACACGTACCACTCGCGCAAATCGCTGTATAGAAAGATTTCACAAAGTTCCAGGTGGCGATACTCTTATTCGCACGTTTATCATCCGCCACGAACTCGCTTACATTTTGAAATCAATGCTTCATATTGGCTGTCGCAACAAACTTGCGATTTGCAACTAATGTAGAACCGGCTTAATGCAATATGACTTTATAAAAATAGACACTGTGGCGAGTTCGTAGTAGATGATAAACGTGCAAATAAGAGTTGTCTTTGCACGTTTTTACACTCTGCACACGCTCGAGCACAATTTTGCTCGTGTCTTCGAAGAATCGGCAAGAATCAATATGTTCAGAGTTTATCATTGCGCCCGTCAGAATATGACTTTCGAACACTGTTTCGATTTCGCGCCAACGGAGTCCGTACCCGGCGCCGACATGCACAAAGCTTTCGCGCACAGATTCCTTCAGACTATCGAGCCGCGATACATGCGATCAGTGATTGTATATTACTGTGATCGATAATCACAGGCATTTGATATGGCTCTGCTCTTCCAAAGATTTGATAAACTCATCGCAACGTTGTTCCCACGCCCTGTACTCGCATTTCATTTTTGCAGATGTTGTGTCAAATTACATTGATGATGTCACCGCAAAACATATCGTAACATATTGATTATCCTTGAAAAAATTCTTGTATTACGCTAAATCTAACATGGTTGTCATATAATTGTATTGTATTAGAAAATATTTTTCACAAACGTTGCATTTTTACGGATGTCGTATCAAATTACGTTGATGTTATCGCGAAATATGTAACATGTTGAATATCCTTGAAAAAATTCTTGTATTACTAAATCTAACATGACTGTCATATAATTGCATCAAATTGAACAATTTTTTCACAAACGTTGCATTTTTGTAGGTTATCAAATTAAGTTGATAATGTCATTGTGAAACATGTCATAACATGTCGAATATTAAAAACTGAAAAATTCTTGCATTACGCTAACAAAGTTGCAAACGATACTTACAAATTTGCAAACGTTGCAATTTTGCAGTATCAGATTATATTGATGTCATCATCGGATGTGTCTAAAAATCTTTTATTACAAAAAATTGTTGGAGGGGATAAGATTTAAATAGAGATTGGAGCAACGATACTGCATCAGTCGCTCAGACAGATTCGTTTTGTGTTGTGATCTTCAACGCTATAGATTCATACATTCAACATGAGTCGAGCAAGTAAGTATTTCAATTATATTTGTGAAAAATTTTTCTCTATATTCTTACTTATTCATTTTTTCTGCTTCATTATAGCGCGTTTTCTCATACAATTTTGGGAAGAATATTCGTATTGATACCGACAGCGTACAAATTTCTAGAGAGTGGAGTCGCCATGGGGCCTACGTAGAAATGACCATTGACACTCGAGGCAACCGCGTACTGTTTCAAGTTATGTGGACACTATTCGTAAATAAATCGATATCGAGCGAATGATACAATCGACTACTCCATCATCGTTAATGATTCAGGAGCTTCAAATTGAACTTGTCAAAATACTCGGTATGATTAATATAAAATTATTATGTGATAAGTGTTTATACAAATCATCGACCGTGCTCTTCATGCTTGGACTTGAACAATGTGTAGATCACATATGTACATTGTGAACTATGCCAATACACGAATGGTACGAGCGAAAAGTTTAACTATTTTGTGACTTATTTACGCCAAAACTGTATAAATAATAAACGTGATAATAGGATATGTAGTGGAATTCTAACTCAGGGGTTCCAAAGGGGGACGGGAGGATACTCGCGGCGGGAGGTGAGTTCATAAGCAGGGGAGGGGGTGATGTCACTTGGCGAGGGGTAACGTTATGAAGGGGCGGGAAAGGGAGATGACGTGACAGGAGTGTGCGGGGATGACAGTGAGTGACGTCGCAAGGAATGACGTTGCGGTGCAAGAGATAAGGATGTCTCAGGTGCAGGAAATTACGTAACAGGGGTGTGCGGAAACTTGCGTCCGCGTCGCGGTGATGACGTCACGCGGGGTCAATGGCCGCTGAGTCAGGAACCTCCGTGAACTATACTTACCATTAATACTTACCATTTTTTCTGTTATGCGTTGCTATCCTCTTCTCGCAGGCGAAATATTTTATTTATTTATTTACGTAGGCGCGGAAGAGAAGGCGCGGGGGAATACTAATAGGCGCGGGGAAAGGAGGGGAGGCGCGGGAAGTCCCGATGCTATCGGTGTTTACTGATATGATGTCCACACCTTGCCGCAGGCGCCAGCGTCAGTGTCAGCGTCAGCGCCACCGCCGTCACTTCACACCTCGCCGCCGCCGCAGACCCCGCGTCCATCCTAAAGTGTGTTTCGGACCGCCACCGTAGACTTCGCGTCTACCCCAAAATGCGTTTCAGCTGCCGCAGAATTCATTCCCACCCCAAAATGCGTGGCGATATTATAACGAGAACAAGAAATATTAAAGAAAAAAATATATTATATATTATAATAAAAAAATATTCTTACTTTCTCCGCATCCTCTCCCTCTCCATCCTCCTCCTTCTCCTCCTCCTCCGTCTCCTCCTCCTCCTCCTCCTTCGCTTCCTTCTTCTCTTCCTCCTCCTTCTCCTCATCTTCCGCTGAATTCTTATTCCTCTTCCTCCACAGCCTCATCGAGGCGACAGCTGTCGATGAGGTGGTTGAACGCAATTTGGTTAATGCGCATATGAGTGAGATCATCTACCTCGGCAATCTCGATGAGGCGATGGAACAATCCTATTTGATCTACATGTAATTGCGTGAGATCAATTATGATATCACTTTGAATCTCCTCTGCGAAAGAGGAGAAGGAGGAAGAGGAGGCAGTCTCCTCAACTTTTTGTATTCTTTTTGCATGTTATAGCTGCATAGTAAAAAAAAATTATCACTTCATTTAATCACAGAAAATGTGCAACAATATTCTACCAACGCTAAATGATAGAATATTGTTGCACGTTGGGGAAAAAAATATCACTCACGTTATAATACGTCTTGCGCGCGGACAAAGCAGGACAAAGACTGACGTTGAGAATCGATCTTCGCCGTTGAGAAGTGAGTCTGCCTAGGATTTATCTTTAAGGGGGCAGTTGTATATAAAACACTTAGATCAGAAGTGCCGTCACGAAAAGTTATCGTTATAGCGCGTCGAGATATAGGAATGAATGGATGGATGGATGGATGGGAAGTATGGGGATAAAGAAAGTACATACATAATGATATGAACAAAAAAAAATTTTTTTATTCACATGTTATTACATTGTTTCTTTTTTTTGTACGTATTAAAAAACTAAAGCCAATAAAACTAAAAAGCTCGCAATCGACAAACTGATGTTTGTTAAAGATGTCACTATCACGTATAGCGTTTTTGGATGTATTTATATTTTGAAATATATATAAATAACAAATATTATATAATTAAAAAGAAATCTTTTATATTTTTAAACATGATAAATTTACTTTATTCGCTACAAATATCATTCTATTCACAAGCTACAAAAATTTATCAATGTAATATCATATTTTCGATACCATAAAGTTTAATTTAATATCTTGATAAAATCTAAAAAGTGACTTAAAAAAATAGATCAATGTTGATAAAAAAAATAGCAATGTTGGAGAATCGCGTATACTTGACATCAACCGTACATCTGTCAAACTCAAACATACGTCGTTTCGGTCATCATTATGCGTACAGACGAAGAATTGAGACGTACGAGCGTAGCTTCGTTCAGCATGTAAATGCTGACAGTTAGCGGTCCAACGCTTATAAAATTGTTCTTATATTCGTTTCGCAGCATCTTGTAAATATTCCATCGCTGCTCGTAGAGACCCTTCCACGTTTCGAGAGACAGCAGCAGTTCATGTCCGCGATTATCTCCCAGGGCGATCTCCACGTAACTCGGTGGACTAACGTTGATTCCAATTTCTAAAAATTTGTAGCCCATAGTCGTCAGATCGTAACATCTGCTCAATAAATGCTCCTTGCGATGCTCCATGCTGTATATACATAATATTAAAAACGTTTCTTTTGTGTATAGAATGTTAAAACTTACACTGTTACTGCAGTTCTTCTTCGTTTCGTACGATGCGTTACTGTCTTTAGCGAAGTACATTTTTTTCAACCGTTCGTACAAGCGAGTATCGCAAGACTAATTGCACCCGCGTAAATTGTGATGTATATAAAACTTCTAGAATCGAAGAAGAGGTAACTCTCTTTCTAAGAATTGCGAACAGAATGTCGCAACACATTTTATCGCGTCTTTCTACGTATTTTTTTTTTGTTCGCGAGTTTATCAATGCTTATACTTTATGATTTATATTTCGATGGCATCGATGACGTTGATGATGAGCAAGTTGGCGACTTTGACGCCTTTTCTCCAGGACATTCCCAATATCTTGCTTTTTGCTTCGATGGCGGTGGACTTGACAGACTTGGCGACAACGGATGGTATCCTTTTCGCTCGATTGATTTTCGGCGTATATATTCTTTTACTCGGTCCATATCTTAACGCTCGTAACTGAAGCTTAAGATTGAATGAAAAAAGTCTAATACACTGCCTATATATATTGCATATATGTATTGTCAGATCGGACATGTCGCGACGCGTTTAGAAGCGTCGATGTTTCGGATACATACATATATACATATGTACATACATACATATATACATACGTACACATGTATTCATACATACATATATGTTCATACATATACGTTTTTACGTATACGTTCATACATATACGTTCATACATACATATTCATACATACGAATACATGTATTACAAACGAAGGGAATAAGAAATACGTAATAAATACGTTAACGTATTTTTATTTAAAAAATTCTTTTACAACCACCAGTTATATATTTTCAATACATTTTGTAACGCGCAATTCTGAACATGTTGTGCACATCACATAGTATTAGCAACATCCAGCTTGGTTAAAGATTCCATGTCTTCGAAAATTACATCCAAGGTCGATGTAGGCTGCTGGAAAAGTTTCTGCAATTTAATACTTCCAGTGGCGCCAATGTTCTGCTATTATCATATCCGTAAAATTAGATGTTTTTAACCTATAATTCAGTTGACAGTTTGTACTCAAGTTAACTAGTTTCGTTTGCATAGTATTTTAAAAGAAGTTATTTTGTAAGAAAATGGAAATTTCGCGTGAAAATTTTCGGGCAATGATTTTTTACGATTATAAATGTAATCTAACTCCGAAACAATGCATCGACCGGCTTTTAGGGATGAAGCACCATCCAATAGGACTGTTTATAATTGGTTTGCCGAATTCCAGCGTGGACGTACCTTTCTTTGTGATGAATTCCGTGAAAGTCCATCCGCGTCTGTTGTTGCCACTAACGTTGATGTTGTGAAATGATTGAGCGAGACCGACATATGACATACCGCGAGATTTAGGCATCCTTGGGAATTGACATGAAAGCAATACATACGATTTTGCATGATCACTTGAGCGTACGGAAACTTTGCAGTTGTTGGATCCTACACAATTTGACCGAAGCTCAAAAACAGGCTTGTGTTAAATGGAGCAAAGAAATGCTCAAGATATTCAACCAAGGTTGATCAAATTTGGTCTACAATATCATTACTGGGAACGAAGCATGAATCTATTCGTATGAGCCCGAAAGTAAACAACAATCCACTGTTTGGATATTTCAAAATGAACCAACAAGAGTTGTTCGTTCACGCAGTACTGCCAAGCAAATAATTGCTTGTTTTTTCAGTTATATCGGACATGTGGCAATCGCGGCTTCAGAAGATCGATGGACTGTAAATACTGATTGGTATACAACAATTTGTTTGCCAGAAGTTATAAATGAATTCCGTAGAACAAACCGAAATCGTCGCATCATCCTTCATCATGACAACGCCAGCTGTCACACAGCACGTCAAACCGTTGATTTTTTATCCAGTAAAAATGTCGAATTGATAACTCATTGTCCATATTCATGATGTATCACCTAATGACTTCTTTTTGTTCCCAAACATTAAAAAGAAGATGCGTGAGAAGATGGTGAGCGATTTGAGTCGCCTAAAGCAGCTGTTGAAACATTTCGTACACTGATATCTGAGGTTACAGCTTCAGAGTGGAAAAAATGCTTCGAAAATTGGTTCGAGCATATGCAAAAATGTATCGATCTTATAGGCGAATACTTCGAAAAACAATAAAACCATTTACCGAATTTTACATGTCTTTTTTTCATATTATTTGCAGAAACTTTTCCAGCAGCCTACGTACATGCGTTCTCGCTCATCGTCCAAAAGCAAATTCCACAGCGACATTCGTTTCTCGCGTCCCTTAATGTACACGATAGCATCTTCAAATACAGCTGCTGTAATCAGGCGTTTCGCCCCGTTGTACGGGACCATTTTGTTTTCCAATCCATGGTGATAAGCAGTCAACCAGGAAGCGCAAGACCTGTCGGATCTTGTCAAAAATTTCCATGGCACGGAACTCGTAAAAATGTAATGTGTGAGAACGGTCCCCTGTTTCAGCATCGCCATTTCTTTCATAAATTTCTTGTTAACGATGAATCTTTGCAGATCTACGTTGGCACGAGCATGTTGTCGAGAAGACTGCGGTCGATTGCGGTCTATTGCGACATATCACAGATCTTATACTGTGTCAGAAGTGCACTTAGGTGACTTTGTGCACAATGTTGGTCAATGGATTATACTGAACCACGCGATCGTGTATGATGAGACAATAGGCTGTTGTATTTGCGGGTACATCCTCTTTACATTCAAAGTCTAATCGCACGTCCACGGTGTCACTCTTGACTGATTCGTTCTGTCGAGAGCAATCGATGATCATGAATGGGCCATTACGTAAAAAAGTTGTAAAGGTGAAACTCGGCTCGAGATACTCGTATCCGTAGTAGCCCTTGCAGAAACGCACGTACAGAATCGCACATCTGTTTTTATCAAAATCCAGATTCAAATCATCGTACGAATAACATTCCGAATTCAGATAAAGTTTCGCACTGATTAATTTGTCGTCGAATCGAATTACATCCTCGGACATGACGTTTTTTCGACCTGTTTGCATAGCGAAAATAACGTAGCGCGGCTTCTCGAGTTGAGTAGCCGTCTTGATGGCCCACGAATGCTTGGTTGTGCGCTGCAAGAGCGGAAATTCATACAAATCCCACGAGCGAAAAGCCAGATATCGTCCGCTCTCCAAAGCGCGCAGCATCGACAGCTTATTTATCTCGCTCAATAACACATGCGGCATTCGCCACTGTACTTTGAATAATTCGAGCGTTGGCTCTACCGCCGGATCTCCCGTCAGACAATTGTTGTCGTTGCGCGCTGGTATTAAAATCAACTCGTGACGAGCGTTAATCACCACGCGTTTGTAATCTTCGCAAAATCCCAGCAGTACGTAGAGCGGTACACAGAAATTAAAGTATCCGGCTGCAGTAGTCTGCGTATCCCAGCCGGCATTCCAT